TATTCTATTCTATTCTATTCTATTCTATTCTATTCTATTCTATTCTATTCTATTCTATCCCGTCCCATCCCGTCCCATCCCGTCCCGTCCCGTCCCATCCCGTCCTGTCCTGTCCCGCCCATACACTCATTTAAAATGTTTGTAGTTCGTCCATTATTTATAGGAATTTGGGGGGGAGGGGCACAGGGGGATACTACACAGCATGGGTGGGCAAAAAAAATAGCAGAAGAGACTTCTGACTTTCTGCCAGCTTCCCCATTGACTTTCCTTATGAGAAACCAGCAGAGAATGTTGGAAATCGCAATTACATGACCACAGGGATGCTCCAACAACCACAACTTTGCAGACGGATCATAAGTCCCCCTCATTCAATGCCATCATAACTTTGAATGGTTGCTGAGTGAGTGGTTGTAACCTGAGGACTACCTGTACCAGGCCAAGAAAGTAACTCCAAACGAAGGTTAAAACTATTTTATTATATTGGCTATAGTAACAGAATCTTGAAGTTTGGTTGTGCTTTTCTCCCTACCCCACCCCCTGCCTTATACTCCTATGAACTAAGAAGTTGTCTATCTTCCTTCAGAATGTTTTGGGCTTGAATCATGCTTCTTGTGTCATTGCTCTGGAAACAGATCTGGTTTACCTCCATCAAGGTCATTCTCTCTCTTTACATTCTACATATGTTTATAGGAATAACTTTGAGGAACAGGGGGAAGAGCTGCAACTAAGAAAATGGTCAGAAAAAAAGAAATCTGAGTCCAGGGCAGAAATGCAAGTTCAGAAAGCATCTTAGACATGATCCTCTCTAGTTCTCATGAAGATAAAGGGAGGGAGGGGGGCAGCACATTCAGATTTGCAAGATTCTGTTACTGTAACCTTGTAATAAAATAGTATTATTTTAAATATTTATTTATATATCAAATTTGTCACTGCCCATCTCATTGAAAGCAACTCTGGGTAGTTTAGAGAAGAGATAAAATCAATTAAAATACAATATAAAAACAATCTTAATAATAAATAAGTTCCAAGAATGATGGGGAATTGGCAAATAACTCAGGGAGGGTCATCAGGGCGCTAATCACCCCCAGGGATGATTAGAGCTCCTATTGCCCCATGCAAACTGGCAGAGCCAGGTCTTTTATCCTTTCTGGAAAGCCAGGAGGGTAGGGGTCTCTTGTACCTCTCAGGGGGAGAATATTCCAAAGGACTGGGGCAATGGCAGAGAAGGATCTCCTCCTTGGCCCTGCCAGCTGACATTCTCTTGCTGACAAAGTCTGCCACATGCTCTTTCTGCCTGGACAGGTGAGACAGATTGATGTAATGGAGATGAGACAGTCCCTCAGGTAACCTGGCCCCATGTCATGTACGGCTTTAAAGGTGATAACCAACACCTTGAATTGGACCTGGAAGCAAACTGGCACCCAATGCAGCTCCCACAGTAAAAGTGTGCCATCCTTGGGACACCTAATATTATTCATGCAGCCACATTTTGAACCAGCTGTAGCTTCTGGATACTCTTCAAGGGTAGCCCCATGCAGAGCGCATTGCAATAGCCTAACCGAGAGATGACCAGCGTGTGAGTTAGCATACATAACTCTGGTGTTCTAATCTGGTCTACCTTGAAGGGCTGACAATAGGTTGGAATTCATGCTAGATTTGATTTGATTTCGGTTTTCTGTGATGTGCTAAATCTCTTTTTTATCTCTCTATACAAGATAAGGAACTGTTTTATATTAACTGACAATTACATTTCAGGCTGTGTTAAGCCCTTTGCAGCTGCTTGCAATCGAAACAACATTCTCATAGAATCTTCTTTAACCAGATATACAGTATTGAAAGGGAATAGGTTATAGAAAATCTGGCGGCTTTGTATATTTACCTTAGCACTCAATTTATTTTTAAATTCATTAGGGTGGAGATTTCTTGATCCTCCTGATGACCACCCATTAATGAATTAGGGAGATGACTATCAGTTTTCCTGATAAAGGAAGAATGTTCAGACATGGTCTACTAATGTGATTTTGGAAATCTGTATCCCCTTTCTCAGGCTCTGAGAAGCCAATTATACTATGTTCAGGAAGATACAGTACATTTTTTATCTTTAAAATGCTTTTGGGATATTTAATATTCAACTACCAGAGATTTGTGGCAGAATTCTCTTTCTTTCTAATAGGCCAGTGCTATCTTGTGGTCTCTTTGAAATAATGTATTTTCTTTTGGATTTTTCATTTTTAGGTAATTTGAAAACTGTGTATTAACCTGATCTGGGCATCTGTAATTATTTTCTTTTGAATAATATTTCTGCATTTTAGTACTTAAAAAGTTGTTAAAGTCCTTTACATTTAATCTTTTTTTTTTTTAAATATTGATCTTGGTAGTCCCAGGAGACTAAAAGATGTCTGGATACTTATTTTCTTTTGAATAATATTTCTGCATTTTAGTACTTAAAAAGTTGTTAAAGTCCTTTACATTTAATCTTTTTTTTTTTTAAATATTGATCTTGGTAGTCCCAGGAGACTAAAAGATGTCTGGATACCCTAATTATCAGAG